CTATTCTGCAGTTTTATGAATAAAAAGAGGCAATTCATGCAGCCTTACACCTGCAAGTTAAGAAGCTTCGTTGCATTCAACTAGTGATCTTCATGTGACTCTCAAAACTAACCAATGCATTTACAATATTCACAACATTACCATTTAAAACAGCAGAAGAAAAATAACTTACAAAAGTCTATGAATTTTTTATCTCCAGTATGAAGAAACTGTGCATAATCCTCTTTTCCAGGATCTATCTTGTAGAGTTGCAGTATCAGAGGCCTTCTTGTTACAATCCCTGCAAGCATTATAAATTTAAAACCCATAAGCATAATTAGTGGCTCCGAAGAACACTAAAATCAGGAAAATTGAAGCAAGGGGAATAAATGATAGACATTTGCTCTGTTTAAGAGCTGTGATGCATTCAAGCTTCATTCTTAATTCCCTCGAACTCCCTCAGCAAGAAAGACGCTCGTAGTTAATGATGTGAAATCCATTAACAACACGCGATGCCCTCCAGCATTTAGTATTCACCACGAAAGCATTTCTACTCCAACATCAAACTTGTAACTTTCTATCATCATAATACAACTAACTTCTCTTAATTAGTATCAATTAGATCACAAAATTATACACAAAATGACAAAAGGCAAAGAGAAAATGAAGATAAAGAGAATAAACAAGAAAAAATAGAGAAAAAAAAAACCTGATCCTCTAGGCAGAAAATCACGCCCAACGAAGCTCTCCAACACCGATGACTTCCCCGAACTCTGTACGTCATGAGGAAACCAAAACGAATAAAGAAAATTCATATTCTTTTCCCAAAAATAACTAGTCGTATACTTGCATTCCTAATAAACTCTGCCAAAAAAATCAATGTGCATTAAAATTAAAGTACATAGAAACACACTAATGTTATGCATGTTCGCTGTACGAATTTATATAATCACAATTTTAGTGCTACTCACTCTAAAAAAAACCTTTAAAAACAGTAAAAACAGAAAACACTTAAAAATCATCCACCGGCAACTTCTGAAGCCTCGACTCCTCGGTTGCACACACAACAACACACAGCAGTACGTGATGCTATAAAAAGTATATATACAGAGAGAAAGAAGAAAACCTGGCCGCCGAGGACGACGATGGTGGGGAGAGAGTCCCAAAGAGTTGGCAAAGAGCGATCATCACCATAATCTCCGAGAAGAGTACAAGTTTTCTGGAGTGTATTCACAAGTCCGATCACACTTTCCATCTCGCCACAAGTACCAGAGCTAGCCGGCGCCTGAGGAGTTCCGGCGTTCAAAAATCTTCCGACGCCGGTGAAGAAGAGAAGCAGTAGGAGGAGCAGGAGAAGAGGCAGGGGTGAAGTAGAGCAGAGGTAGAGAAGGAAAATGAGAAAAGTAACGGAAGCTATTTTAAAATTATTATATTTTGACCTGTCAGGAAATGTTTGATTAGTTTTAGAGAGAGAAAGTAGAGAGTGGGCCTTTTTGTGCGGCAGTTGTTGGAGCGAAGCGCCACGTACGTGCTCTTTTTATAGTAGTTGTAGTAGGAGCAGGGCTGGATTGAGTGGGGACTATCTGGTCCAGCCGTCCAGGGTGGTTTGAATGATTTTGAAATCCAATTGCGGCGGGATCTTTTTTGAGAGTTGAGATAATGAAGAAATTCTTTTTAGTGGGGGTTTTTTTTTTTCTTTTGAGATAAATTTATTTTGCCCCAATTAACTGCTATGCATTAGCATTTTGCCTTCTTTCTTAATGGTGAAAAACAAACCAACACTCTGAGTGGAGCTCGGTTAAAAAAGAGTTTATTCGAGCTTGATTTATCAATGAATCATGCCAAACATGAACAGTTTTTTTTTGGTGTTAAATTTTCAAACTTGATTTAAACCTGGCTTCATTAACTTGAGGCTTAATTTTATATGTAAAAAATTCAAATTATATGAACTCGACTTGGTAAAAGTATATTTCGTTTCGACTAGGTAAAAGTTTTTGATTTGGACTTGACACATATAACAATGTAAAGTTAAACATAAATTTAAATTCGTGAAAATAAACAAACAAGTTTTAACATTACAATGCTCTATTTGATTAGACTAATTTATATTTCTATTCTTTTCTAGGTTGCACATAAAACTTGTTTCTTTGAACCAGTTGGATTGCTATTTTCAAGAGTTTTTGTAAAAAGAATGTATCATAGTGATTTGATATATATGAGGTAAAAAGATGATTGAAAAATGTGTTCACGAAAGCGTAAAAAATTTTCTTCAAAAAATCACAATTCAAACAAAGTTTCGTACCATCACTAAATGAGGTATTTTGCCAAACAAAGTGTGTGTTTGGATATAAGATTATTTATAATTTTTTTTGGAATAATTGCTCTATCATTTTTTTTTTTTGTGATATGATGTATGTGTGATAATGATTAACTAGATAAGAAGACAATTAAAAAAATTATGTTTGTGATTCTAGTAAATAATTTGTTTCTTGCAAATAATAGCCAATCCAAATTTACTTTAAGGTACTAAAATCTTTTCATTAGAACCAAACTAGTGAATGACTTGTTTAACGAATTTGTATTTTATAATGTCGTACTTGATATATTGGATGCTTATTTGCAACATCAAATTAAACTAAAAAGTGAGTAGAGACTATTGCTCAAATACGTTCATTAGAATTCCCCTAGAGGAAAACATTTCATTGGGCATCATGTGTACAAAGGCAAGGGAGATGCGGGCAATTTTTAAAAATTTCCGTTTAAATCTCTTTTGAATCATTGAACGGTTATTAAAGAAAATTCTAAGAAATGGTTTGTTTAAGGATTATGTTATTTTTTTAATGGTAATTTATATCAGGAAAAAGTACAAAATCAAGGGAACCATAAATTTTACTATGTCCAATTCCTTGAATTGTGTGTACTAATTAGTGCTTGTTAATAATCAGTAGAAAATTCAAAAAGCTATGGAGATTACATGACTAGGAAGATGAAAAATAAATGGTGAAATTCTTAAACCATATGTACTTTAGCATATAAAAACGACCAAAATTTGTTTTGGTGCTCTTAAATTTGATATTTAGCAACAATTACAAAAAAGAACTTAAGGGTTGAGAATAAAAGAATAGGATTAATTTCACTTTGCACCCTAATCTTATATCATTTCTCACTTTATATCATAAATTTTAATTTTGAACACTTTGCACTTTAAACTCTTAATTTTCGGCATTTTGCACCCTAAATTCTCAAGTTTATTTCATTTAAATCTAATCAATGATTACTTTTGCAAAATTTATAAGGCAAAGGGCGGTGGAAATTAATAGCAATGTATCATTTTGTTCTAACTGCAATTGTTTAACTCTTTTTTTTTACTACTTTAAGCATATTATCATTGATTTATATGGTTTCAATTACTAATATTATTAGTAAAATTAATGAAATAAAAGATGGTGCAAATCAATAATAATGTATTGTTTTATTTTTTGCTATTGTGCATCAACACCTTATGACTACTTTTGGTGCATTATCATTGATTTATTGACTACTCCATGCCATTAATTTTGCTAAATTTGTTATTGACTAGACTTAAATGGAACAAATTTGAGAGTTTATGGTGTAAAGCATCAAAATTGAGAATTTTTGGTGTAAAGTGTTCAAAATTGAAGTTTAGATTGCAAAGTGAAAAAGTGATACAAGTTTGGAAGCGTAACGTGGAGTTTGTCCTGAAAGAATATGCAGAGAAAAACGTACATCTTGCATAGAAAAAGCTTCTTCAGGATTTTCTCTTACATGAGAAGGAAATGATAGTTGTTGTAGCATGCCAAAGATGTAGGCACAACAAAATCACAGCCAAAGATACTACTAAAACTTGACTCTACACAAATAAACTCACAATAAAATACTCTACAATGTTGTTAGCTCAAGATTCATGAACAATAAACTCACAACTCTCTGCCAAACCTTGGAGGCTTTGTCAAGATTTCTTATCAATCCTTTTTTAACTAGTAGGCTTTCAACTAAGCGCTAGTTTATATAGGCTAACACAACAGGTTCTGGGTAAGCTAGAAGAATAAAAAGGAAACCATCCAAACCAGTTCCTACACAAATTCTGTCAAGCAAAACATCGGAATTACTACTAAATCCTGTAACATGTCTCTAGTACGTTCATACAACTCTTTCACCTAAATTGCAGTAATTTTTTCCAGCAAAAAGATTGAGTCGTCTTGGGAATGCCACCAACTTGAACTTGGAAAGAAATTTCTCATGCAATCTCCCATCTTCCCACATCTTCTGCTGCTGTGTATACAATTCACAAACCAAGAGTAGGTCAATTAAAGCAATAAGATCATTTTGCTGTTAAAAATGGACAAACGGCCTCCATTATCGTCCATCATAATTGAAAAGGTTGCATGTATGTATTTGTGAACTAATCAAAACCAGCTATGAAGCACATTATCTGTGTTTAAGCCTTTTAAGCTGGATTCGTTTCTTAGCCCCATAAGCATAAAATTTTACATTGACATATGAACAAATTAACTTTTACTTAAACTCGACTTGAATTTGGTTGATAAAAACTGATTTGGGCTTGGACCAGCAAATTACCAAATTAACCTGAAACAAAGGTTTTTTTTTTCCCCTTAAATTATAGAAAAAGGAAGATCAAACCAATCTTGAACATGTACAAAGGCTTGTTTAGATCCTAGCCCGGTCAAGTTATAAGTTTCTGATTGTGTAGCAGAGTGATCTTTTTGGACAATTTCCCAAAAGTCTAACGATGGGGGAGAAGCACGAGCATGAGCTTTGACTAAACATCAGAGGACATGAATACAAAGTGAAGAAAAAAATAGACAAATAGATTAAAAGTAGGAGCTAAATGAGCTCTCAATCATTTGTGCTTTTGTCCCTTAAAGTCCTTTTAGGCAAATATTGGCCTAATTAAGTGTAGCAGAAACTCAAGCTGGAATTTTTCAAGAGGAATATCTCTTCCAGAATACAAGTATATGCATATGACTGGATTATTACCTCTAGTTTCTTTGGTTGCTGAGGCTGACTTGTCCTGGGATTTTCACCAATTTGAACTTGAAAATCAGTTTTCCATGGTTGCCTCTCTCCTTCCACATCTCCTCCACAGTGTACAATCCATCATAAAAGTAGTGCCCAGATATTTCGCTTCTCCGAATTACTCTCACAGGATTCTTTTTCACAATACTATTCATCAATGCAAGATTTCCTTTGCTGAGCTTCTGATCTTCTGCCTTCCCCTGAGTACCAGGTCCATACTGGTTTCCCCCTTGCCCAGAATAAATTAAGGTACCTTGATTGCTCATATGATTACTGTATCCCCCAGAAGCAACCACACTAATAGCAACCTTTCTTCTTCCATAATTCATCCAATCAATTCCTCCTTGTGGTGGACGATGGAGGCATAAAACATGAATTTCCATGCGGTTGTGGAACCTGTCTCCAATCTCTATCCCCGGAACTGACCCTAGGATTGGCACATGCGGGTACCAAAATTTTTTCTTTATCATGTTTGATGCTGCAAATTCAGGCCTCGTCTCCTCCTTAGAGAGATGCTCAACGTAGTGCCGAAAATGGTGTAAGATGTCCTTCACTTTCTTACGAGCCAGAGACTGATCGGAACTGCTAGTAGAGGACCTCAGGCCTTGTGGCTTAGAATTCTCTTGGATCACATCTTTTTTCAGTTCTCGGATTTCATTTTCATTATCAATTGTTGAGACAGGTGGTTCAATTCTTGTTCTTATATCACTGCTTTCATGATGCTTTGAAGAAGATGGAATGTTTTTGGAACTACTTGCTTTTTGTTCATGACCAAGCTTAGGTACCAAGGTTCCATCTTGAAGATTGAAAATCAAGTCCCTCAAGAACTTAGGAGACTTAATGTGGTTAACCTGGATTTCTGGAAGTTCCTTATTGATCATCCCTTGATTAGTATCCACTGGCCTCATGAAAATTCCGTGCGGGACTCGAACAATGGGGAAACTTTTCTCAACTTTCTGAGCCTTGGTGGCGCTGACAGGGCCTTGATCACCATCAACATCCTTCATGTCTCGCTTTTTTCGCCTTCCTCCCAATGGAAAAGGCTCCATTAATGAAGTCTTGCTCCAATGCTCCATGTTTAATGATTTTTCTAGCATTAAGAGGAAAAATTAATGGCCAAAAGCATGAGAGAAGAATGTGCTTTACTAATTTCGAGAAGGTGCAGAAAGTATGGGAAAGGTTATGTACAAAGGAAAAGAAGCAAGGAAATCAAATGAGCGGTTGGATGACTACCAAATGGAAACTAAGCAAATGTTCATATAAAGCACTACTAATTGTGTGACTAAAACACTTTTTTGGCTTGTCTCTCTCTTTTGTTAGTGTTTTTTTTTTTTTTTTGCCGCAAAAGGTTATGATCAGCCATAGTTATTGCTTTACTGCCACCCAAAGCGTGCTGGATTTTCACATGTACCGAGCAGGCGATTTAACCAGTCAAATGTTCTGGAATTTATATCAACATTCTAATCACAGTTTAGTAAAATTCAATGCAAGAATATTCTTTAGTCATATTGAAATCCACATAAAATGAGTGAATGAATGAATGTGATCGCGAAATTCATATGCCATCGTAGAGATGCAAATGAATCGAGCTAGTTAGGAGCATGTTAGATCAACACTCGAGTTCGAACTGGAATTGATCAAGCTCGAATAGGTTGACGAGCTCAAATTCAAGTTTATTATGTGAGGTTCGAAAACTCATCAAGCTTAATTGAGCTCACTCAAGGTTCTAATTTTTTTTATTTTTATATTATTTGTATGAAATGTCAATTATATTCATTGGGTCAAATTCTATTAGTTTATAATACTTGAGTTCGATTTAGTTCAAATAAATTCAATAGGGCTCATTAGAGCTAAATCTGTTCAAATTTGAGCTTGAGCTCATCTTTTAAAAGCTCCATGGACTCGAGTTCAAGTATTTTGATTCGAGTCGAGCTCAAATAACACTTGAAACCCATTCAATCTGATTGTAGCCCTGTCCATAGATAGGTTTCCTTAATGAGTTTTAGTTGGATACTTAAAGAAATAGATAGAGTGAGCGCCTTCACAAAGCTAGCAGCCGAAATGCCTCTCTCTATTAGTATTTACAAGAAGTGTATAATTTTGGAAAACCTTTCTTTGGGATCGCTAGGATTAAAACTCAATTAGGATCAATGGATAAGCAACAAACCTCCATGAACAATAATATTATGAAACTATCTAATTTTTTTTTTTTTTTTTTAAAATTTCTGTCGATTTTAGCAAAAAAAAAAAATCAAAATTTACAGTTTGTAATTTCTCACATTAACCATGACAAGAAAAAATCTCGAATAATTGTTTCTCACTTTAATCCCTGCTTTCCCACACATATCAATTTAAAAAAAAAAAAAAAGAAAGAAAACGTATTTATCCCCGGTGGACAAAGTCCAATTACATCCGTCCCGATTTGATTGAGCCACGTACCAATGCTACTTTTTCCCGAAATAGGAGAAAAAAAAAACCTTAGCACCTATCCATTTACAATCAATGATCAATTCACAACTAGTGAAACTTTTCTCTCGCTTAAAAGATTTTTGAACGAGAGTTTGTCCCTTTTTTTCTTGTTCTTTATTTTCTCTTGTTTTCTTGTCAGCTCTCATCTAGAATTCTCTGATTTTAGTTATATATGCATGTTAGATCTACACTTGTCTTATGGATATGGAGCTATTCATGTTACTACTACAATTACTACTAGTCTAGTACCAATAGAACTGGCCTTTTTGTTGTGTATGGCTACTGCACATTTTGCCATCTCTAGCTATTACTGATGCGAAACATCCTTTGGCGACATGAGAGTCTATAGAGCATCGTTTGGAAGTTGTGGGAAGTGCGAGGAAAGAGGGAGAAAAAAACCACGAAATCCCGTTTTCACAAAGGATCCGTGTTCATACGAGGGCTGTGTTGGTAAGGACGGGTAATTTTCTTACAAAAAGGTCGTGTGTTCAAATCCCCTATCGATATGAGAATTGTGTTGGTGGACGATGTAAATATCTCTGTAAGCGGCTTATGGTCTCAAAGACCTACCCTGACTTATGGTGGTGACTAGAGTTGAATTTATCCAAATTTTTGTTTAACAAAAAAAAAAGGATCCGTGCGTAGATATATATATATATATATATATATATCTATCTATATAAATTAAAGAAGGGATTTTTGGTTAAAAGCCATCCTAAACCTTTAAACTCTCAATTCCTTTTTTTTTTTTGTAGATTTTCTATTTATCTTAACTAAAATGTAATGAGTTGATTCAAAATCTTGATTGTAGGCTATATTCTCATCATTTCAAAATTTAAATTATTTCTAAGCTCTCAATTCCTTTTTTTTTTTTTTATAGATTTTCATTCATTTTGATTGCTAAAATGTAATGAATTGATTTCAAAATCTTGATTGTAGACTATATTCTCATCATTTCAAAATTTAAATTATTTCCAAACTCTCAATTCCATTTTTTGTAGATTTTTTTTTATTCTAATTCCAAAAATTTAATGAGTTAATTTCAAAATTAATCTGGATTGTAGTCTATGTTCTCATCATTTCAAAACTTAAATTATTTTCAAACTCTCAATTCCTTTTTTGTAGATTGTCTATTTATTTTAAATCCTAAAATGTAATGAATTGATTTCTGATTTTTCTTAGCACTTTCTTGGAGGATTATACAATACAATGCACAAGTAAATAATTTACTTCCCAAACTGATAGCTAGTGAAAAATGAAAATAGGGGACCATATATAATTAGCTGCTAATTTATGAAAATGGTCATGCCTCGAGATATTTGCAATTCGATACATACATCTATATTGGTACTGAATTGGGACGTAAGAACAAAAGTTCTGGGAATCAATTTGCCTATCCGAAAAAGAGCAAATTGATAGCAAGACAATATGATTATATATATATATATATATATATATATATATATATATATATATATGGCCGTGTCGTTTTCTTCGTAATTTGTCGTGTTGTGAGATCGTTAGAAAGAATCTTCCCGCATTGATCCATGTCAGTAGTTAGTAGTGCGGCTCTGCATGTAGTGGTTAAGCATTGTCACTCCTATCCGATTCCCGTCTGAAATCTGAATTTGTCCCGTATTTCCAACCCTCATTCTCTCTCTCCTTTTCCTCTCTCCCTTCCCATGCCTGTTGCTTTAATTTTCTTGACAATTTAAATTGAACTGCAAAAGTTCCATATCTTGGGTTTCTCATTTTGTTGGCCAACGAAGAAACTAATCTTGGCAAATAAATGGAGCAGTGGAACAAGACTTCTACCATGGAGCCCTCATCACTAGGGACGAGGCAGAAGAACAAGAGAAAAATGGAGGAGGATGGTGATACAAGCACAGATCATTGCCATTGCCATTTTTCTAACACCAGATTTCACAAGGGTCGAAAGGTTTTCCCGGTTGTTCAAGTCCCACATGGAGTTTTCAGAAGACCGGCTGATGGTGGCAAGGCTGATGGGTCAGAAATTCAGATTGATCATATTAACTCTCCAGAAGATATTGGAAGAACTACATCAATGGCGGAAGACAATGTCTCTGGCAGTACTAGACGCAAAGAAGATGGAGATCACCACCAAAGAATGCAAAATGAGTTCATCTTAAAGGATCATTCCCAGTTACCCGCTGCTAGTACTGGTTCTACTCGGGGGAGAAAGCTCCCAAAAAATGTTGACAGGGCCAGGCAGAGAGTGATGGAAATTGTAAGAGAATTCCGAGCTTTTTGTGACCAAATCACGAGGATGGATAAAGAGGATAATTACAAGAGGAAGAGGGTTGATTTCATGGCAGCAAAGATGGTTAAAAAGAAATTCTATTACTACCCAGATAAGCCCTTCCTTGGACCAGTCCCTGGTGTGGAAATTGGAGATGAATTCCACTACAGAATGGAGCTGCACATTTTAGGCCTGCATCGTCCTTCTCAGGGAGGGATTGACTATGTGCAGGATGGAGGAAGAATTATTGCGACCAGTATCGTAGATTCTGGGCTTTATGATAACTACAAGGAAGATCAAGACACTCTAGTATACTGTGGTCAGGGAGGACATAATGCAAATCCAAACGTGGGCCTGCAAATGCCTGAAGATCAGCAGCTGAAAAGGGGAAACTTGGCATTGCGGAATAGCATAAGGGCAAAGAACCCTGTTAGGGTTATCCGCGGTCGTAAGTTACCAAGGGCCTCCACCACCTACTTCTATGATGGATTGTACACGGTGGAGAAGATGTGGGAAGACAAAGGTCAGGTTGGCAAAAGGGTTTTCAAGTTCAAGTTGGTGAAGATGCCCGGACAGGCCAGCCTTTTTACTTCAAGAAACTAAGGTAAGAAGTCTTTGGTTACATGATATTATTGTTTGCTCCATCTTTTAGCAATTTAAGGCATGTAATCGAACTTCTAGTCTAACTTTACAGAAATCAATATCAATCCCTTTGATCTTACTAATTGATGTCACTGTACCTAGAATTGATTCCTAGATTGATTCATCACCGCATATTTGTCAAATTAGATTTTTATAGTATTTACAAGTAATTTTAATCTAAAAAAATGGCTTAATTCCTTTGTTTTGTTGCAAATAATTCTTGACTTTCTAATTCTCTATGCGCGTTCTATGATGTACATACTTTTTATTTTTGGCAAGTGCTATGATGTAAATACTTGCTTTTATTGTATTTCCACGCCTCATTATTTGAGGAAAGTTCGTGTTTAATCTCTGCTATGCGCTTCTCCTTCCAGGACTAACGTTTGATTTACAGATAGAATCATCGTTTTTAGCAGTTATTAGAATCGACTGAATGCTGTTAAAGTCTTGCAAAAGATCAGTTATCTACAGGGATATCACCGTTTGATTGCCAGTTGAAAGCCTTTTCCCTCATTGTACAGGGCTAAAGATGTGCAAAGATGAAGGAGCGCCTGGAAACACCCATTGCTAGTTCAAGTTGGCAAAAATCCCCGGACCACTCACAGTCTTATCTTATGGGGCATCTTAGGACTTGGAGTTCTGAATTTGGATTTGCAGAGTTAATGTTCTAGTACTATGTTGGATTTAGTCTAGTAGTAGTAGAGGAGTATATAGTGGCTTTTCAATACATGCAACTTTGTCCATGCATGATCACTAGACTTCATGTTTCGTGTTCTCAGTTATCAGCATACAACATGAATGGCTGCTATTTACCCAAGGGAACAAAAATTTTAGGTATTCAAGGAAAATAGAAACAAAAAATAAGCGGCTTTTTCATAAGAAATAACCATATAGCAGTTACAAATTAACTCATTTTGGTAAGTTTCATGGGGCAGGAACGGTTGTAGGTTATGTGCATTTTGCATACAGCGTAACTTTGTTTACACATGGTGTAACTTACTTTCAATAACGTGCAACTTTAGAACAAAATTTTGTGGGTCCCACACATATTAAAATCGAGATACAAGATGAAATCTGAATCGTATAATTTTTTTTGGCCAAATCTTAACCGTGAACTGCCAGGAACGGTTGCAGCAGTTCCTGCCCCTCTTCCCATATTCTCCACCTCTAGGAAAGCTCTTAAATTTTGACGCACATAATTAATATGTTGATTGAGTTGCTCTGATTGAAATTTTATTTTTCTCATTGCCTTAAAATCTTGCAAAATGAAAATATCCACAAGAATAAAATTGAGACCCTGATAATCCTACTTTTTCATCAAGTCTATGGGTGCTCCAATTTTAACTTGAAAAATGTCAATATCCACATATTGTACTCAAGTTAAAATGATGGAACTCGTGGTCGAGCTCATGGAGTTTTCATAAGTCGAGTTTAAGCTCAAATGCGACTTCAATTTGTCTTGCTCGAGTTCAAACTCAATCAAGCCTAAGCGATTCCAATTGAGCTCATCTATAAATTAATATTTTATATAATTTTAAGCAAGAAATATAGTCGACATTTCAAACTAATAAATATGAAAAATTACACACACATATAGGTTTGTCAAGTCTGTTAGGCTAGATCGAACTAGATCCATTCATATTCTCGAGTAGCTCAAACTTGACTTGAGCTCAGTCTTAATTAAGCTTGGTCTCGATCTCAATTGATACGGAGCCCAAGCCGAGCACTTAATCAACTTGCACCTGTAATCAAGTCCCAATCTACCAGCTAAGAAAACCCTCGTGTACGTAGCACAATAAGAATAACTACCTGTAGTGCAATTTGAGATTGAGGGTGGGCGGGCTAGAGGTCTAATGGACTACTGGATACGGCTCAATTTTTGTGACAAAATTGATGTGGGTCAACCGTCACCAACGGGCCAGGTTGGTCAAAAGCCCACCAGTGCATGGCATTATGTGGTAATTAACCAACTCTTGTATGTGATGTCGTTTTGGTTTTGAGATACACTGACAGTATATATAAAAATTACTCAAATGAAAATATCCATAATAATAAAATTGAGATCTTGGTGCTCCTTCTTTATCATCAAGCCTAGGGGTATTCCAACTTTAACTCGAGCTCTACTTGAGTTAAAATAATTGAACTCAAGTTCAGGCTTGTGAAACTTTTAAAAGTCGATTTCAAGTTCAATTTTAATTTATCTTACTCGAGTTCGAGATCGATCAAGTCTAATCGAATCTAATCTAATCGAGCCTAATTGAGATCGCCAAATATATATTAATATTTTATTTAATTTTGAACAAGAAGTGTAATTGACATTTTAAACCAATAAATATAAAAAATTAAATACCCTCACATATATAGTCTCATAGAGCTTACAAGGTTAGAAATTTAATATTCGAACTGGATTCATCCATACTATCGAGTAGCTCAAATTTGACTTGAGTTCATGTCGTGTAGCTTAATCAACTTGCACCCCTAATTCCCTAAAAAAAAAAAAAAAAAGAAAACCTTGCACCCCTAATCAAGTCCCATTCTGCCAGCTAAGAAGAGCCTCGTGTATGTCGCAGAATAAGACCAACAACCCGAGATGTGATTTGAGACTTGAGGATGGTTGGGCTAGAAGCCTAGCTAATGGACTACTGAGTATGACCCAATTTCGGGACACAGTTGATGTGGGCCAATAAAAGGGCCAGGCTGGATCAAAGGCCCACCAAGGGTATATAAACTTCGGGAGCTATGACAGATTCTTCTCCTCCCATCTAAGTGCAACACTCCTGAAAGGCTGAAACTGATCTTCCAATGCAAAGAATTCAATCTTGAAAAAGAAAATTAAAAAAAAAATTTCAGCAGTAGTGATCATAGAGCTTACAGAAATTCCTTACCTAGAATCCGAAAAATCCTCTCAAGATTCATCTACCAACGTTTTCTCCAATCAATCTCATCAAGAATTAAAACCCTCAATGGAGCTATGATTAATCAGCTACCTGAAGGTGTATTATCTGAGATCCTCGTCAGGTTGCCCGTCAAATCATTACTTCAATTCAGTTGCGTTTGTAAGAAATGGTGTGCTCTGATCAAGAGCCCTTATTTTGTAGATATGCATCTCAACCATGCCAAAGACTACAATGATCACCGTGTCGTCCTCATCAAGCGGTTCATCAAGGATGGAAAGAAAACCATCTTATCATTCCATTCTCATCATAGTGGAGGAGAAGAAGATGAAACTCTCCGTGTTGTGGCCCCTAATTTAGAGCTACCTTGGTGGGATCGTTACTGGATCGGCCTGATCGGAGCCTGCAATGGCATCGTTTGCATCTCGGATTTCTACGACATTTATCTATGCAATCCTGCCAGGCATGAACTCCTCAAACTCCCTGTTCGCCCTTTTGTTTATCCCGATGGTTGTTCAAAAGGCTCTGTGTTTACAACAAACGGTCTGGCTTTCGGGTTCGATCCATCTTCTGGAGATTATAAGGTTCTTAGGATAATCAGTTTCTCTGCGGGCTCTTTTTGCCTCCCTTCAGTGACAGCTGAAATATACAATCTCAGCACAAATTCCTGGAGAAATCTCGATGCTGACTTACCAAAAATCGAACACCCACACCCATGTTTCCCCGCACTAATTCATGGATCCTATCATTGGTGTGCTGCCAGCACGAAATCACGGCTCAGCGCGCCTAGGATGATCCTTTCTTTCAACATATGCACCGAGGCATTTGGGGAGATGGAATTTCCTTGCTATATAGCAGATGACACAAGGCCCAGCCTTGTTGTCTTAGATGATTCCCTTGCCTTTATCTCATTCAAAAACCCTTACCCGCAGCGGTTCCCATCAATCTATGAGCAGTTCATTGATATCTGGGTGATGGTGGAATATGGCATCAAAGAGTCCTGGATGAAGAAATTTTCCTTAGGACCTCTCGTAGGAATGAATGGGCCATTGATTCACGAGCCATTATGTTCTTGGAATAATGATAAGCTTCTGCTACAAAGCGAGGATGGGTACTTGATTTCTTGCGCTCTCAACAATCACAGCCAGGAAACCAGGAAATTTGACATCTGCGGGCAGAGAGATACGCTGAAGGTCATAATATATCAAGAAAGTTTGGTTTCTCTTAGCAAAAGACATGAAGGTTTATCTTGGTGGAAGATTTAATCATGGAAGTGATAGTAGGACGAGATCAAGTTGGTCCTAGTTGACAGATCGATATCTTAGTATTCCACTTCCTTCTAGGAATAATGTCTTAGTTTCTAAAACATGATGTTGGCCTCAGCGAGTGTGTCAATGTCTTAGTTTAATTCTCAAGCATATCAACTATTGTACTAGTTTAAAACTGCTACTTTTTCCGTGGATGCTTCGGCTCATTTTACTGCAACTTTGGTTTCTTCTTTTACTTTGTTGTTCTATTCATTAGATCACTATGAAGCGGTTGCCTGTATATATACCATTCCAGTTTTACACCTTACACCGTGACTCAAAGCTATATTACATTACATTCCTTTATACCTTAAGACTGTGACTCAAGACCTATATATATTACATTACACTAATGACTAATGTACGTGTAACGTGTTTATGGAGTACTTTTTTAATATTTCCTAATACAATTTATTTGCCCCTTGTTTCTAGCTTTTACTTAATGGATAATTTAGGCAAATTTTTAGGAGTGCTACTACGTATTTTGTTTCCTGCATCAGGGTTCCAATGTTCCTAATTAGACAGACTATGTGCTTTTCTTTCGTTTCTGAACCATATATAAGTTTACTTCTAAAGAAGTCCTCCTCCTAGACAGTGGTGGTAAGGGCAACTTATTGTTACTTCGTCATAATATTTTCTCAGATTTGATGTTTGTAATTTCTCATAAAAGTTTTCATGTACAAGAAAGTAGTCAGCTCTCCAAGCTTGCATCTTTCTATGTGGTGAAAATGTCAATAAGCCGTTATATTATATTCCTGATTCTGTAAAGGAATGTTACATATTTTATAAGCATAAAATTATGGATATATATATATATATATATATATATTTTCTTGTTGGCCTAGAGGCAAGATTATATTTTAGTATGATGTTCGCCAACCTGCAGTTAAAGCAACCGATCGATTGCCTCAAACAATCCTTAATTAGTCGTATGCCTTGGAAGGAAACATGTCTACAAAAAAAGGATGTCGGCTTTCTTACTTTCTTGATCTACTAATTAGTACGTTTATGTTTGGTAAATGGCATGTGCAACTTTCCATCAATCAATCAATCAATCAAGATCCCATTAGCTAGGATACGGGACAGGACGGTCATCAGAAGGATCATTCCTGAACAGTTCACGGCTAAAATATGCTAAAAAAAAATTAAACGGTTCAAATTTTATCTTGTATCTCGATTTTAACAATATGTGTGGGACTCATAAAATTTTATTCTAAAATTACACGTTGTTGAAAGTAAATTATACCATGTGCAAATAAAATTACGCTGTGTGTAAAATGCACGAAACTATCAAGCAACCGTGGTTCCATTAGCTAAGAAGAACCTGCACTAGCCATCATTAGGATTTGGGAAGCAGACAGAATTACTTATACGTTGTTGATACCTGTTGACACATATGTACACTCTCCCAAGTACCAGCTAAGCTTCGCAACACATCCCTATGGACCTGATGATGCTGGAAAATGGACGATATTAGACTGAAATATCAACGTTCTAAAAAAATCTGTCCTTTATTTTATGTGCTGCT